TATATAATATAAGGAATTATATATATATATATATATATATATAATTATATTAATATATAAAATAATAATAATAAAATATATTATATTTTGATTGATTTTAACATTTTATTTTTTTTAATCATGGTTTAAAATCAAGGCATATTACATCCCTCCCTATCAAGGGATGCCATTAACACCCCCTTTCGATCAATGCAAAAGTACAAAAGTGTCGTTTCCTTTATTGCAAAGCTGACTTGGAAAAGGAAATAGAAAATGAGAAAACAATTATTTATTATTTTATTTTTATTTATTTTAAAATAAAAACATCTCTACTAGCTATATTATTTTAAAAAATTTAAATATTTAAAAAAATTATTCCAACAGTTATATTAAACTTTCTTCTAAAATGAAAAAAAATAAGTGAAAGAATTGAGAAATATCCAAATTCAAGAGAAGAGAAGATTATATAAAACACGTGTTAAATGTGTTGTAAATGTCCATTTTCATAGATTGATAGCCAAATTTCTAGATATACCATTAATTGATGTCGAAAATATTTAATATCTCACGAGCTTCTCGAGTCGAGTATTGGATAGCTTGACTCAACTTATTAGTACGTGAGTCGAGCTTTGACCGAGTTAATCTCGAGTAGTTCGCGAGTTGTCTCGTATCATTTACATCCCGTACCCAACGTACTGCAAGAACACCATTTTGCTGGTTTGGAAACTCCAACCGCATGACAAAAAGAACGCCAAAATGGCATATATACCGTACGGTTGGAGTTCAACTTTATTTCGGTGCTATATGGGCTTGTTAATTTATAACGTGTTTCGAGCCCAGTCCTTTGTAACCGGTTAACGACGCCCATCTCTAACACAAGACTCGATATGAAGACGGGTAAAAGCAGAACATACGATTCGATGGATGGTTCATAAATATCTTTTATACAAGCAATTTGAAAAGTCAATCAATCACACTTTGATTTTCTCATTAGTTTCAGAATATAAAAACAGTTACCTGCAGGAGAGGAAGCTTGGAATTATGATCCAAAGTAGTAGGTACCAGACATACACATATATTTTCTTTTAACCTTCCTCCCCAAACTCCTTTGTGAATCTCTCGTGGACCTCAAGATCGCTTTTGCTCACGGTTGGCCTCTGCCTCGCCAGAACCTTGTCAAAGTCTGCTCGTACGATGGGCGGGGGACTAATCTGTAATATGTTTCAAAAAATATCGTTACAACAATTTGTAAATTGCAATATCCTCCAAAGATCTTCACAAACTTTGGATACAAAATCTCGCACTTCCTACTTATGGAATTGTAATTGTGAGATATGTGTAACCCCATCAGGTTACTCCGTAAAAGAGCCTTTGAGGAGAGAAGTGAAGTTTCCAACATATATGAAGGAGAAATGGTCCGAGTCTAGCCGACATGGGATTTCAACACACCCCCTACAACGAAGGCTAGACGAAGACAAATTATCCTCTAAAGTGTAGAGGCCCTTGGCTCTGACACCATGTGAGACTGTGAAACCCATCAAGTTACTCTCCAAAAGAGCCCTTGAGTAGGGGTGTGCAAAACCCAACTAGTCCAAAAACCCGAAACAAATATGAGGTGTTTGTGCAAAACGTGAAAATCTGAAACCTGACTTTTGGGGGGATACTTGAGTTCAGGTTGGGTTTTGATTTTTGGCCAACCGACCTGTCCGAAAACCCGGCATATCTATCTATCTATATATATAGATATTATTTTTAAATATTATATAGATATATTTATTTATCTAATCTTTTGAAAATCCTAAATCCTAGTTGGTGTTACTCTTTTCTAATTTCTACACCTAATATCGTATTCATCAATCCTCTCAATTGATTGAAAATACACACACACACATATATATATTGCATATAACGAAACTTGAACCTAGACCGATCCCAACCAGAAACCCAACCAACCCAAACCCAGAGCAATCCAAAATCTGGGACTTGGCTTCCATATCCAAAATCTGACCGGATTCTGGTCTGCCCGGCCAACTCGCCCGACCCGTCTGATGCATACCCTAGGCCTTAAGGAGAGATGGGAAATTTCAACATATATGGAGCATAAATGGTTCATCAAGTATAGCTGATGTGGGACTCCAACAGTAATTAAATTACTATCCAAAAGAACCCTTGAAAGAGAAAATAAAGTTTTTCAACATATATCGAGGGGAAAGAGTCCAAGTCTAACTGATGTAGGACTCCAACACTAATCTTGAGAAGTTTCTTGAACGGCATAACAACTTTTCTTGAAGAAATTCCTTACCTTTGCTGCAAGCCCGTGTGTGGCAAGCTCCTGCATAGTTATCTGCTTAGCGCCTGGTTGTTTTGGCCCACACGGTACCCATAAGCCATCATTCGTCTCAACAAAGAACATGGCATCCTGAGTTTTACGTACAGGTTCAAATAGAACGTCCTTAACCTACAACATCCACCAATAGTAGATTTAGCGGAAATAAAATGTATACCGAAATTCTATCCGGATCTTTACAGTACTCGTAAAGATTGCACTTACACAAACAGCAATATCGGAACCAGAAAATCCTTCAGTCTTACGAGCCAAGGTTTCAAAGTCGCTTTCAGTCAAATTATTAGGAGTATCTCCCAAATGCACCTGAACATCAAGCCACAGCAAACCACATGTTATACAAACTTCATAAGGTTGCAAACTATTTGAGACGTTAGAATCAGAACTCAATAAATATATATAATATTCATATCAAACAAATACTTATAGAAAGAGCTGTGAAATTTGTGGAGGGCCCTCATTACTTTAAACATGTGTTGTCGTGCCTTCATATCTGGGAGTGGAATGTATATACGCTTGTCAAATCGCCGCCGGATAGCCTGCAAAACGATTTGATGGTAATTTTCTTTGCCAACTGGAATCTCAGTATTGAACGAGAGATTTTAATTTTCTCAAATACCTGATCCAGCGAGTAGGGTGTATTTGTTGCAGCAAGTACTAAAACTTTGTCATCATTGTGTCCTACGCCCTGAAAGAAAAAGAAGTTGGCATGCTTAAAACGGTTTATAGCAAAACTAAAATACCATCCAACTTTTCTTTCTTTCTCCAACCGATTCTTCAAATTTTCTCCAAAATGGAGAATCAAAATTCAAAATCTCCAAAAAACAATTACGTTCAACTTCAACAGATTCTCTATTTTGGAGATTACAAAATTAATTAGATTATTATAATATTTTATACATCTAACAAAAACATTTTTTCTGTCCTAAACATTTAACATCAAGATTTCTGATTGGTGGGGATATAATAGAAAACTATTTCTCTCGTTCTCCAAATTTGGAGAATTTCACACTCTCCTAGATTCTTTGTTTTGGAGAATCTATTGGAGCAAAAAAAAATTGTCCAAAATCCCTTTTCTCTATTTTGGAGAATTTGTTGGAGAAGCTCTTAATACACCTTTTCAAAATAACACACAGTGGGTTTTGCATAAAAGTTAGATGAGTTTTCCCTCCATCCCAAAATAAATGTTCCAGAAGTAATGGATTTCTCCATCTCATAATTAAGGGTAGAAATGGAAAGTAGGCACTTACTTTTGAAAGTGGACAATTATTTTGGGACAAACTTAAATTAAAATGTGGACACTTATTTCAGGACAGAGGGGGTATAATAGAACAGAAATACTTCCGATGTTTAGACATGTCCAGATGGCATGTAGCATGGGGAGTATGACAAGTCTACATCTATTCTGTCCAACGACTGAAATCAAACTTCTCCTTTGAACAAACTCTCATTTCCTAGAAAACTAATAGGCAGAAGCAATAGTCTGAACAGCTAAAGGACCTAAAACACTTTCCATAACTGGCAAGTATTGGCATCTGTGCTGATTAATAGCAATTTATAGTTCTTTTTTGAGGACTCCAACAATCACCTGCATCTGAACAAGAATTTCAGTTTTGATTCGTCTTGAAGCTTCACTCTCATTGCCTTCTCCACGCTGGCCACTCAGAGAATCAATCTCATCAATAAAAATGATGGATGGTGCACTTTCACGAGCCATTTGGAAAAGATTTGACACCAGCTTTTCACTTTCCCCCATCCACTTTGAAACAAGATCTGAAGAAGAAACACTGCAGGAAAGCAGCAGTTGGCACTTGCCAACTTATTGGCCTAAGTTCATGAAATTACAAAAGAAGCCAAAGAGAAGCAGCATAAACAAGTCAAGGAAATAAAAAAACATGGAAAATGTAATCAAATATTATTTTTGAGCTGGAAGCCAAGATATGAATATTATTATTAGCCAAGATTTGGATCTTGAAAACAAAAGGTAACATCCTGATAAGTCATTTGCCGGCGCTGTTGTGTATACATGCCACTAAAATCTCATGTTCATCATGAGTAAAGCTGGAGATTCAGCAAGTGTTGATTAATGTAATTCAGCAGAAGCATTAAACCCATGATCGCAAAAAGAGAACTGAAAAAAAACTAATTAAAGCTGAGAGTATTTCATTCAAACCCATTTTGTATGTACAATCACACCTAATGATGAGGATTTCATTCTATGTAGAACTGAATACAAAGCAATGTTGATTAATTATATTAAGTAACCTACAACAGATAATGTAAGAACCATGGCATAAAGGCAGCTATAATTTATTTACTCTTATCCAAATTTAACACCTGAAAAATGTAGAGTCTGCTTCAGTTGCAACAGCCTTTGCTAAGTATGATTTTCCTGTCCCAGGTGGACCATATAAAAGAAAAGCTCTCCAAGGCCGCCTCTTACCTACCACAAAACAAAGTATCAAGTTGTCAATGAAGAAAAAAGGGATATACATATATATACACACACACACTAGAAGGGTACTCGCAAAATGCAGCAATACATCTTGATTTGAATGTTTGGTTTTATTTTGTCTTTGTTGATATTATAACACGGTTTTATATGATTTTGATAAACCGATGTTTTTATGTTTGAATAAAATATAAATTTGAATATTTCATAGAAATTTGAAAAAATATATCGATATTAATATCAAATGAACTATTTAAAAGTCCACGTTTTTTGTATAATTTCTTTAATTCAATTTCTTATTATAATTTAATTTAGATTTAATCACAAAGTAATTTATTTTCGGTTTAATAATGTAATTTTTTTATTAAGACAATAATTAAGTGTTCTGTTAAAACTCAATGATTATCATAATTATATTTTAGATTTTTTATATATAACATGAGATGTTCATCCTGTATTTGATTATATTTATCTACATTTAGTTACACGAACATAAAATGGAGCTTTAGTAAGTTGTACTTTCGCATAATTACTTTTCATCTTGAATTTTAAGTAATATGCTTCAATAAACAATACTTGATGCATAAAAAATGGTTTTTAAGAGTTTTTGTCAAATGCTTTATAATATAGTGTGTGTGTGTGTGTATATATATATAAAATGTAGGAGTACATAAACCATCTACAACCAACAGGTAGGGAATCAGGTGGGTGGGTGAAAACCCGCCCATCTAACTGTGTGATAACTTCAGTTTGCTAAGCAATTCTACTTTGGCAAACATAACTAAGGGCATGTTTGTTAGCAGCTTAATGACCTTAATGGGACTCACAGCTTATTCGTTCAGCTACACATAACTGTTTGGTAGTGGATTAATGATATAGAAAGTAACTTATTCAGTAAGCTTTTAGGGGGGAGTTTTATGCAGAAAGCCGAGTTTTTTCCAAACCTTCCCCTCCCAATTAAAAACAGGCTCCTTCCATCTATGGAAAAATCCTCTTAAACAAAAACCATCCCAATCTATACAGACAGATTAATCCACACCATACAGGACTTGATGGAAAACCAACCAAACAGCTCCTATTTCGTAATAAAGCTTTAATATTAAGAGGGAAGTAGTTATTCAGGAATAATGAGCTTTGGAGATGCTGGTAAAAATATGATGCAAGGATGCTCCATAACACAAAGCTATACTGCAACAAGGTGTTTGGATAGTAATAATCCTTCTATTCTACAATGTAAAGGAAAAGTCAAAGAAAATATGTGCATATCAAATCCTGTTAGTCTCACAATAAAAGATAATTTGGTAACCCATCATAAGGCCTACCCCACTGCACAGGTGATTTTTCATGATCCAGTTTCAGAAGACAGAGGGAGAGTTATAGGAGCACCTGGTGATTTCAGCTAGGCTTATTGACAACTTCAGCCAAGTAGACTTAAATAATATATGAGAACGAAATCGGGGACCCTAAAATAGGTGGATGTGATTGGAACAATTTCCAGGCATATAAAAAACACCTTTACAAAAAGAATACCTCTTCTTCTACGTATACACTTGAACCAGTCATGTGGAAGCCCCCGCTGGATGGAGAAACAAAATTAATTTATGAAGAAGCATGTAAAATGGCCAAGTGATTCAAAATATGAGTTTAATGGAGGGATGTTAATTTCATATGTTGATCATGTTAACAGCAATCTGTTATGATTTATGAACATGCAGAATTGTACGTTTTAACAGACATGATGTCCGGATTCTGTGGGCTTTAATCTTGAACTTTTTGAAGTGGACCATCAAGGATATTTCACAATCACATGGGTTAATGGATTCAGCCTTCAGTGCAACACACTGCCACTAGCTATCTGGTTTGTTGTCATCAAGACAACTTTATAGATGGTATTCATGCCTGTTATAGTAAATTAGGCTTCTAGTTTGTAACAGTATGATTTTCTTAGAGAGGTTCCTAAGTTGTGTGTGTGTGCGTCTGTATAATCTTCTCTTGACAAAATACATTGAACTTACCTGATTTCTAGAATATTATTACGTGCCACCAGAGACAAAACCCTAACAATGCTGTTCGAAACCTTTCTGAACTATCGGTGTCGCTAGGCTCCGCCGGTCAAAACCCTGCTGCCACTGCCACTGTCCCTAGGAGCTATCAGTCAAAACCCCAACAGCCACCGTGAAAAAGAACAGTGTGTGTCAAACTTTTCACGAGTTTTTCTCTCATTCTCTTATTTTCGAGAAGCCTGACTGAGATCTATCCCAGGCTACTGTCCTGCTGCCGCTCGCCACCGTCCCCATCCGTCCCGGTTTCCTGCAAAGTCTGTCTTTCCTATTTTATTGAAGTTGAAAAGAGCTCTTGAAGCAGTCTTTCAAAGCAAAGTTCAGTCGGTTGGGAAGCACATGATTTATCTCTTTCCAGGGTCTTGGATTCATTCATCATCAGGCATCTTTTCGAATAGTGGGAGCAAGACTAAATCTTTGCAATAGTCTCAACTACCACAAATGAGAAAAGAAGCCCAATCAAGCTTGACACTTTACGAGAAAACCCTAAACTGCTATCACCTCTAATTTCAATATAAATTCATTATGGGAGACGAAGTTACAATTCAACAATCGACATCTGGTGAATTTACAAAAGGTATAATTAAGTTTTCTGCTATTTTAAATATTCCAGTTAAAATAAACTTTGCACAAAATGGGCTCAATGAAGTATTTTTGTCCAAACCAGCCTTGGAAGTTTGGACGAGGATGATTATTTGACTCCAGACCCTCCAAACACTGAAACCCAAAAATGAAAGCTCGAAAAAAGTAGTATATGAATGGCCTTATAGAATACAATGAAATCACAAGTCCTAAGCATCACCCTGGACTACCCTACCACAAAGAAGATATAGGAGCACTTATAGCCTTCCTTCTCGGCCAAGCAATCATTGTCTCGTATTATCTGTTCAGATCTTACTTCATATGCAAGCAAGAAGACTCATATCTCACCTTAGAGCCTTCCTTCTCACCAAAAGAATCATTGTCTCGAATTATGTGTTAGGATCTTACTTCATATGCAAGTAGGAAGACTCATATCTCACCAGATATTGCACTATACTATAAAAACTATCAAAGAAGCCTCAACCTTTTGTAACTCCTGATGGGAATTCTTCTATATCAACAGAACTATGTTCTTGATATGCTTACAGAGTGTTGTCTATTGGGGTGCAAACCAGTGGAATTGACAGCTTGTTACTCATGACAATAAATCTTTGTCTAGAGAATGGAAATCCCAGGGAAGATCTACAAGCATTTCAGGATACCAGTCGGAAAATTAAACTATTTGACAATTACTAGACTTTTCTGGATGGTGTGCAGAGCTAGTTTATGTTTGGTCCTTCCATAGGTAACTCACTTTGTCTTTTGAGGTAACTCAAGGTTACACCAAGCTTACAGATACCCTATTCAGATTTGGGTAAGGGTCACTATCCAATACACGCATTCACTTAAGGAAACGGCATGATACTTGGTTTCTCTTATGTAGATTGGGTTGGCTCTCCTATCCCAAAAACATCAACTTTTGGGTACTGCGCATTCATCAAAGGTAGTCTAATTTCTTAAAGTAAGAGACTGGTAAATAGAAATGAAGTAGAAGAACTCAGATTCCAAACGAACGGGCTAGGTCGTCTTCAACTATTCAAATAGCCAATAATTGAATATTCCATGAAAGGACCAAGCACATTGAGATTGATTGTCATCTGATTAGAGACCATGGTGTACAGGAGCAAATAGACCATCCACCAATCCAAGCAATATAGATCAAGACTAAGCACCAACCTGCAGACGTTCTCCTACAGGCTACAGCCGTTATGAAAAGCAGAAATGGATTTTATTTTTAACAAGTTGGGCATGATTAACATTTTTGCTTTTAAACTTGAGGAGTGTTGGATATACCAAATTAGGATTTTGCTTTTTTGTTTGTAATAGTATGATTTCCTTTGATAGGTTACTAAATGAGGTCAGAGTCTACTTTATCCAAGTCCATGTCACTCTGTTACAACCATTATATAAATCGACTACACACCTTCCTATCAAAGTGGAAAGTATATAGATCTTTCCTTTGTCAAGGATGATGGAATTTTGTTGTGGCCACTAAAAATCTAAACATTCATGATGAACGTCAAAACAAAAAAGTGATGCTAGGTGAGAACTTTTCTTCGCTTGGTTAAGTTGATAATTGCTAGTTACTTAGAGATGCCCATATTCATTTTGGTTATGGATGCAATGCGGCTTACTGTAGCCTCTGTTAAAAGGCTATACTTTATCCGATGACGAAATTCACTGGAAAATTTGCATCAAAAGAAAAAAACCTGCAATTGTGAGAATACTTTGTATAGCTAGTGCTAGTGTGGTGCACCTTCCGATGTTTCAAGAAAGCAGAGAAATAACCCTTCAAATAACCAATCTAATGAATAGCTTAATTTATCTACTCAAGATCACTATGGGAACAATAAGCACCCATAAAACCGGGATATAGAAAAGTTGGAATGCTAATTTTAGCCTCTTATTCTCCATCTACATCTAGTAGTCATGATAGTGGCTTTTTCACAGGGTGAATGGCATCTAAATTATGTCCATAGTTATCACCGTTATATTACAAGCTCAAAGCTTCAAATTTATATAAACCAAATTTCACGAAACCAATTTTATATACCTTTCAACTGAATAGACAAAAGAAAAAAGATTAGCACCAAGCCCAACAATACACACCACTTTCACCTCTCAATTGAAACTAGTTATTACTCCTACAGATAACCCCCAACATCCCATATAAAATTGCTTCATTCAACAAAGGAGTCCACATCTAAACTCATAAGTTCCATTATGAAGATTGTATTAGTTGAGTAGGTTCTAGTTCTATATAAATTGGTACATCTGACATGAATTTTAATAATAGTAAAACCATTTTGAACAACCCCCCGTTAGGCTTTGGCAAGAATTGATGATTATGGTAATAAGAATTTCAGCAGAAAAATAAATATCGAATCGTTGCATGATCGCATCGCTTCTACTAAAAGTCACGTTGATTCTGTTATTTGGGATAAAACTAAAAGTCATTTAGCTCATTAATTTGGGATTAAGGGAGTAAGTGAAATGTTAAAGCCCAAAAGATAAGCAACTCTCAGCCAGTTAAGATCATAATAGATTAGCTGAGATATATCATAAATTAATCACTTGTGTTCAGAATCTATAAGAACCCTAATGAGTTGCTAATGTCTAACAAATCAGATGACTAAATTTTTCAAAAATATAAACCCAAATGCACAACAGTAATTGCATCAAACAAATACTAACCAGTAAAGAACTGCGGAAACTTAACCGGTAGAATAACCGCTTCCTGTAGAGCCTGCTTAGCACTCTCGAGTCCAGCAACGTCGTTCCACTTCACATTAGGTTTCTCCCGAACAATCGCAGAGTTCAATCCAGCCCTAAGCTTAGACTGCTCAGGATCCTCCCCATCTCCTCCTCCCCCTTCCCCATCTTTAGGTTTCGTCTTTGGCCTGGCCGCCACCGCCGCATCACCTCCGTTCGCCGCCGGCCCCGTACCTCCTTCATCGAGAACAGCCCTAATCTCCTCCGCGCGATGCAAATACTCGGTGAATTTCTGCGTAATCGCTTCACGAATCTTAGGGTTTTTTTCGTACTTTAAGTGAGTCTTGAAGTACTCCAAAGCGTTCATATACAACGGAAACGCTTTTGCGTAATTTCCGGCATTATCTTCTTGTACAGCTTGCTTCACGTACTCTATTGCTTGCTCCTTGAAATTGCTATACATGGCATATATATAATTAAGGGTTTTGAAGATCGAAAGATCGCGTATTTTAAATGGGGAAAAAGAAACCAAACCCTAGAAGAAAGAGAGGTGGATCGGGAACTGAAATTGATTGGTTTGGGGATTTGATTAGAGGAAAAGGGGAGAAGACGACGATGATCAGGTGACGCAGAAATTAAGTAAAATGACACGCGAGCGATTGAGGGGGGTTTACTGCATATTTTGTAAACTCCGGGGTTCGTTTTGTAAAGTTAGAACCGCTGAAAAATATCAATGGTGTTTTCCACGAGACCGCTCATGTCCAGTTCAAAGAATGGATATACGTATTACATATTAATATTTTTATAATTAATTAACTTTTTAATTGGACAAAAAGTTGATTACTGACAACTCCAACTGATTTCATACGAAACTCGTCTTCAATAACATCAATTAGGGGTGTTCATGGGATGGGCTGATCGAGTTTATAACATTTGAACAACTCAACCTAATACTTGCGTTTTGAAAAAATCTTAACCAAACCAAAATGCAACCCAACCCGTACGGGTTAGTCGGGCTGGTCAGGTTTATACTTTGGTATGTTAAAATATTATTTTAACCTTGAATATGTTATTTCTTTACTCATAATTTTTTTTTTCATCATCAACCATTTGATACAACTTATCCATATTTCTTACGTATATCACGTTCAGTTAATTTTCTCAATTTACATATATATTATTCATATATACGAATGAGTTATTTATAGATGTGAATAAATTGAAAAAATGTGTATATGAAAAGCATACATGATAGTGTAATTGTGTAATGTATATATTAATAGAAATTCAACAATCATATTAAATTCAAGAAATAAAAGGATATCGGGTCCATCAGATTGGGTTGGGTTCAAATAATAGTAACCCAATACTTACGGTTTGACAATTTTACAACTCGACTAGACATCGGTTTGCTTCAGATTGGATTATTTCGTGTTGGATTGATCGGGTTGGTCGGGTTTTTGATCACCCTTAACATCAATGACGGATAGAGATTTTTCTGGCTCACTCAGCGGCTAAGTCTAGCAGGGATCTGAGATCGTACCCGAGACATGTTTTGTATTTGAGCATAATCATCTCACCTCTTTGCCAACTCAGTTGCACGCTAAAAGGTCAATTATTTTTTTTAATAAAAATGTATAAATAAAATCAAAATTATTGTGTATTTTAATTCTCACTTAATTGTGACTTATGATATATGGGTTTTTTGAAAACTAATATGCATGGGAATGGAAAGGGGACGGTCTGGGATCCCAATCTTTATCCCTGTCTCCGTTGGGGAATATGATCATATCCAAATCCCTGTCTCCAACAGAGAACAGGGATCTCCCATCGAAAATTGAGGACTTTTTTTTTACTGTTTATGAGATATATTTAACTCAAATGTGTTAAATACTATACCCGATCGATAATGGTTCATGTTTAAATCTCACATATAATCACAGCATCATACATACTTGTTTGATCAAACGCTTTCGTATCTCCCTGTTTTTTATCTGAAAAAATATATCCAAAAATAAATTTTAAAATTATTTCAAATCTAATAGATATTAATCTAATTCTTCGTAAATAATATATATACACACACAATATATTTAGTAATAAATAAACATTATATTTTTGTAATACATATATAATATATTTAATAGTAAATATACAATATATTTAATATATATGGACCGGGAGGGATCACATTACTTGGTCCCGGCCTCATCTAGAGTTTTTAACTTTTTGGGATCCCCGTCTCGGGACACTTGGTTTTTAACTTTTAACCGGTTACTCGTGTACTTAAAGTTGATAACCGGCAAACCCACCTGATCCGACACAGAACTCGGTTTCAAATGACACCAATGTGAAGGGATATTTTTTAGCTTACTTAACGGATGAGGTTAGCGGAGGCCTCGGGATCGAACCCGAAACCCATACATATTATTAGCGTAAACTAAAATCACATAACTCTCATTTGTTTTGTAGAAACTCGTATTAGTTAAAATTGTAAATTAAAAAAAACTAATATATCTCACTTGAATGTAGAGTGTAAATACGTTAAATATACAACCACTTAACCACAAGAGTGGTGTCTCGTTGGTTTGAGCATGGCTTCAAAAGTTAAAAATGTCTGAAAGTCACATATTCAAATCCAATGAAGAATAAAAAATCTTCTTGTAGCCACAGAAGTTTAAATGAGTGATTTTGGACTACTCACAAAATAAGTGGTTGTCATGCGATTAATCGATTTCCATAGCAAAGAAAAAACCTCAGTTATTGGAAAATATTTAGGAAGTGTGGCAAAAGTCATAATTTTGAAAAGGAAAATAAAGAACCAATAGAAAAAATTGTTGACTAAAAACCATAAAAGTTTAATTCTCAACCACTATTTTATTTCCAATATATATTTATATACTTTTGTCATTTTATCCATTTTTTTTTTGTCTTTTATTCAATAAAAAACCAGAAGGACCAAAATTATAAAACCGATGTGATTAAAAAAAATAAAAAATTTGTTAAAAAACAAAAAACGTCTCTTATTTAACGAGATTCTTAAACGACCGAAAAAAAGAGAGAGACCAGATAGTAACGTTTTTGCAAACCATGATAACCATTGTATAATTTTAAAATTGCATATTACTTGTTATGAACTAAATATGTAGTTTACTCTATTATTTACCAGACAAATTAATATGTTTTATGGTTTGGTGAGAGTGATGACCATGCCAAAACTCTCTTCCTTGTCCTTCCTTTTTGCCTTTCAAAAAAAAATTTATATGTTTTATATTTCATGTTGTATTTTAATTCCGAAATATATTAACCCATTCAGGGGCGAAGGTCTATAGGGGTCTTTGGGGGCCAGGACCCCTACGATTTTTTATCTTTTAGGTAAGTAAAATTTAGTTTACTATGTTAAAAAATTATTTTTTGCACTTCTCCTTAAGTACGATCAACCCGATTAAAAGGCATGTGTTCCGCTACTGAACCCATTACTCTTTTCATCTTATTTTAATAATATCTTAAAATTTTGCCATGATTTGATATATAGTAAGTTACAAGTTTTATCCCTGTGGTTATATGAAAATTTTGGATTAGGTCCCTAAATAAATTAATTACAAATATCATCATCGTGGTTTCAGTTTTGTTGCGGATTGGGTCCTCAACTCTAACTTCTTTAACCTTTACCTCATTAAGTCGGGGGCATTGTTGTCCTTTACCATTTTTCTGTATTTTCAAAGAAAAATGAAAAAAACAAGTCCATATTATATATATTACATGGGTGTTTGGGATTGATTATAAAAATAACTTATTGACTCATTCCGACGTGTCATCGGTAATAAACACTTTTTACTGTTTGGATAAATAAATTATACCGGTGTCAAACCGGTAATAATGATTTTTTGAAGAAGTTAAACATTTCTGACTTATAATAAGTTGATAAGTGCTTTTGTAAAAAAATATAAGTTGTTTCGAATAAGCAATCCCAAACACCCTTGACATAACTGTGAAACCAATATGTTTTCGTAAGATCCATGAGACAACCTCTTTACATTTATACTGTTTTGTTGGAAGGGATCAATTTTCTTTTACCTTCATAACATTTTTCTGTGAAGTTTCAAGGGTAAAAAAGTAGTTCTTAAAAAAAAAAAATATACTATTAGGTGAACCAACCCATATTTATATTATATAACGAAATCGATGGTAACCCATATTTATATTATATAACGAAAACTGAGAGAAGGCGTTTATTGGAGTGGTGTATGGATTCTTTTGGATTATTTGGAACTTGCGCAACCGCAAAACTTTCTCTGTTCCTTCTCAGACGACGGCTACTTTTCTTGCGGGCCAGCTTCAGGCGTATTCTTTTTTCTGGTTCAAAAACAAGGTGCCGAAAGTTGTTATGGCGACTAGTTGGATAGAGTGGTGTAATTCTCCCATGTCTTGTTTTTAACCTGTACTCTCTTTTGCTAGTTTCTATGCTATCTCGTCTTTGTTGCCGGTCAAAAAAAACTCTCCGTCACCATCTCTCAGTTTGCCGGCGAACCCCCCTCCCCCGATTTGCCGGCCTCCTCGTCCCAAAGCTGTGAACGACAGGTTCCTTGATGAAGAACGATGCTCCCTATACGTCGATCTCCTCCTCCCTACGTCGATCTCTGCCCCAAATCATCGAGAATGACGTCAAAAAAGCTTGATGATGGTTGGGTTTCTTCATCAATCTAGGGGGGTTTTCCTTCCAGATACCGGTTTCATGATTGATACTTCATTTTTGTTATGTCTTTTGTCACCAATCTGGATATCTTTTTCATTGATATCGATCTTTATGCGCCGATCTCCTCCTCCCTATTGTTTTTTCCCCATCGATCTGGGGTTTTTCTTTTTATTTCGTAAGAGGCTACTGGATTTGTGAAGAAGAGACTAATAAGCAGTTCGAAGCTTCAAAATCTCGTGAAATCGATGTTTCTTCAATCCATGTGTTAGGGTTAGCTATCAGTGAGAAATTATATACTTGTTGGTTCAAACAGAGAGATTTGAATATTGTTTATTGTTCTATGGATTCGTATTCTTCTGCTTCTAGGTGGTTAATGGGTGTTGAAGCCTTCATCTTGGTGATAATATCTTCAATAATATTGATGGCTGTTATGTCATTGTTCATGGAGGTGCGATTGAACAGGGGATGTTGATTAGGGTGTTCTTGGCAAAAATCAAGGATAATGCTTAACATCATGTTTTAAGGGTTTTTTTGTTGGCAAAAATCAAGGAGGTTGTTAATGGTGATTCAACGATGGAGATCACCGGTGATAAGGTCGGTGGTGTTGGAATGGTTCAACGATGGAGGTCAATGTGGGGTCAAAGAACACATAAAACGACCATCAGGAGAAGATCGGAGACACAGGTGGTGGATCTGGCGGAGGTATGCCGAAGGGGATGGACATATTAAAAAAATACCTATTTTGTTTTCGGGATTTGTTTGTTTATCTCTTAATAATTCTAAATCTTGTTTGACACGAAAAAAGTAACTTTTTAATGGTTTTAAAATCATCTGAATGATTTTGTATCCTGCATCTCCTTTAACCATTAAGAGTCCTAGTTTCATAATTGTCATATTTTATTATGAGAGTCTATTAATCATTCTGCACCAAATCATTCAGCAATTGTCAAACAGCTCATAATTGTTTTTGTAGAGTTGCACTAATATAAAAATTGTTGTTAATGCAGTTTGAAATGCTAACACTTTTTAGGGGTGTTTTGGTTTCCTTATTGACTTATTTTAATATGATATTTATAGTATGAAGTTTTTAGTGTTCGGATGAAAAAAAAAGTGTTTATACCGGTTAGACACCGGTAACAAGAAGTTTTTGATAAATTACTTCTTTATAACTTATTAATTTATTCCGGTGTGATATCAGTAATAATTTTTTTTTGTATTGTATGGAAAAAAATTATCAGCTTATTACGTTTTGATACCGTCAAAAAATAATCCAAACAATTTTTATAAAACTTCAGTTTGACACCAAATAAATTGATAATCACTTTGGTAAATTGATATTAATTATAAAAAATTAATGAACATTTATTTTGATAACATATAAAATTGTAATAACTTTAACCATGAGTCTTGTGCTATTTATATGTTTTTTTTTAATCTACGGTTTGAATTTAGTGTATTAATTAACATATATTTGTTTCACGATGTAATTTTTTTTATGTGTTTGTGAAACAAAAAGTACAACTAAAATGTTTCACAATATGAACTGAATACATATGAAACAAAGATATTGTGAAACAAATATATGTTAATCAATATTTTAAATTTCAGGCTTAGATGAAAACAAATATACATTAATCAATATATTTATTTGAAAACGAATATAAACAATTTTATCCGTATACGACTTAATATAAAACCAACCAAACAAACCTTGATAATCACTCAAAACATAAAAAACCGTTGATATTTTACGTGTTTCACTATTGTGAAAAAGATCCAACCAGAGGTGTAAAGAATTTGAGCTTTTAACCATCGAGCACAAGTCGATCTCGTACACAAAATAAAACTTGTTTAACCTAACAAGTCGAGCTTCATTACACCGATGTTCGACTCGACTTATTTGAAAACTTAATTAAACTTCACGAGATGAGCCATTCGAGCATGTATTTTTTCGAGCAAAACATATATAACTTATCGAGTTTGAACAAATAAACGAGTTAATCGATCTTGAGTTCGACCTTGTAAACAAGCAACGATCTTGAGCTCCAACATTTTAAAAATATTCGCGTTCAAACTCAAACCCGAGTTAGAAAAAGTTATTCAAGCTCGAGTTGAGCTCAACACTATTTTTTCGAGTCAAAGTCGAATAATCTGTTACTCGACTCGACTCGACTCGACTCGACTCCAATGGTTTACACCCATGATCCAACCACAACCGTTGATATTTTAAGACAACTTGTTGATGATTCGATGCACCTTGTTCATGTCTGTTTCCATCTCTATTTCTATGGCAAAATGACAAATGATGATCAATCTTTCAAACAAGGAATGAAAAGATAGTGACAATTAAACAGTTAATCACACTCTTTAGCTATAAAATCCCAATTTCCCAACTAAAATCCACAAGTAAAAACCCACATTTGATGATCTATCTACTTCACATCGCCTGGTTTTTGCCCACTATTTCTACCACATCTCCTTCTACCTTTCATATCCACTTCCTAGATTCTATCGATTTTCAGATTCTCTGATCCAATCTCATTCATTCATGATACATATTGGTTGCTGAAGGTTTTGTAATTTGGTGGATTTTGAAACAATGAAGAAGAATCGAAGAGGTATGATTTGCTTACACTCGATTAGTTTACAAGCTATGACCGCCATGGATTAGAATTTCTTCCACTCCGGATCTGTGGAAACGACGTTGACTAAAGAGAAAAAGGGGATAATGATGAAGAGATCAGTGCGTCCGATATTCAGTTTAGTGTTTCTTGTTGCCGCTGCCGCCACTCTCTGCTTTCGAATCATGGTTTCCGGCGGCGGAGAAGTGTTTTCGCCGAAAAACGTGGGCGAAGCAGCTCAGAAGCCTTCTCCGGTCTTTAATGCAACATTATTGAGGTTTGCTGCGGTTGATTTAGCTGAAGATTCGTTGAGGCAAGATGTCGAACAGTTGGTGAATGGTAATTTCCGAGGTTCGGAGAGCGGTCGCCATCGTTCATTTCTGTGGTCAGGGCGATACCGTCTAGATATTCGAGCTAGGTCTGCTAAGGGTGTTCCAGTACAGCTCAGGTCACCGGATTTCTACCGGCTCTGGTTGGATTTCCGGCGATATTTGCAGACCTGGTGGCGCAACCACCGGTTCCATCCTGATGTAATGTCAGATATGGTGAATGTTGTTAAGATTCTGAAGACCGGTGTAAACGACACTGATTTGAAGTCAGGGATGAAGTATAAAACCTGTGCTGTAGTGGGTAATAGTGGGATCTTGCTGAAAACCGATCTTGGTGATGTGATTGATGGCCATGAGTTCGTTATCCGATTAAACAACGCAAGAACCCGTGGGTTTGAACGCAATGTGGGTTCGAAGACGAGCCTTTCATTCGTGAACAGCAACATTCTACACATATGTGCGCGAAGAGAAGGTTGTTTTTGTCACCCATATGGAGAAAAAGTGCCTATAATGATGTACATGTGTCAAATGATCCATTTTCTTGATTATGTGGTCTGTAATTCTTCGCGTAAGGTGCCATTGATGATCACAGACCCACAATTTGATGTGTTATGTGCGCGAATTGTGAAGTATTATTCGGTTTCAAGGTTTTTGAAAGAGACCGACAAGCCATTAGAGGCATGGGCTGGTTCTCATGATGGATCTAACTTCCATTATTCTTCAGGTATGCAGGCTGTTATGCTTGCTATTGGGATATGTGATAAAGTTAGCATTTTTGGGTTTGGGAAATCGGAGTCGTCTAAGCATCATTATCACACTAATCAGAAAGGGGAGCTTCATTTGCACGATTATCAAGCGGAATACGATTTGTATCAGGATCTGGTGGAGAGACCTGATGCAATACCGTTCATTTCAGATAAGTTCAAGTTCCCTCCTGTTGTTATACATAGATGACACGTCTCCATACACGTTACAAGTAGTTTGCGTTTATTGAATTAGTTGTCTGTTTTTTGTGAAATTGTGATTGTAAGTGTCCCTTAGGGAATCAATGATACCAGCAAAAGAATGGTAATTGAATACAAGATGTAGAAGTAACAGTGAATTTGAAGAAATTCATGTTTCTTGTGATTTGGATCTAGTGGAAGCTTTTTGTTCAAGAACACTTGGGTTTTGCAAATAACTTATATACAACAACTATAAATGGAAGTGGGGTTGGGGGTAAGGTATGGGAGTTCTGTTTCAGTATGCACTTGATATGGAGTCTGATTTGGAACTATTTTGAGATTATGAGTTCTGTGATCCAACTTTTGTAAGAAAACAATCACAACAATCACAAGTGAATGTGCTTTCTATGAATGTAATTCACTAGTGAACAACAAAATCTGACAATAATCTTACCTGTAGTCAATTTTCTGAACCAGGTAAGTGCATCTTTAATTGTCTTTTGGTTTCCTACTATTCACTTGTGCATGTGATTGTTGTTCATTACACCATATATATAGAGAGAGAGAAGAGGGGGGGGGGGGTAGAGGAGGTTTGAAATACAAACCATGTCATTGTTAATAACTATACAAATCAACCAATTGAGATATTTATGGAAGATAATTATAGTTCATTAATTATAATCAACGCTTTATATTAGAAACCACATATTTATTAGATTAGATGGACGAATGAGATTGGTTTGTAACGAAGTGTTGATTTGTAAAATAAACCACATATATATAACTTAATTGTTGCATTACTCTATACATAATTTCATCATATAATACTAATACAGCTTTATTTAGAGACACTTTATTTAGAGACAACTAGAAAGATAGTTGCGTACTTGCGTTGATTTAGGAACAACTTGTGTTTCTCACCTTTGTTCTTCATGCTTAGTTTCTCTTGAAATGGTTTCCTTCATAGTTATGTGCTCATACTTCATGTTTGGCATACATATGCTAGTTTGTTTTTCGAGCTTATTGAAAAAGCCCCTTTTGCTTAACCATGAACTAACTTATAGAAACTACTTCAAATAGCATTTCAATAAGCTTCAAGGGTTTTTTCCTAATATATGGTGGAACTTTTTTTTTTCTCTCCTAAACGACTCCTTTAAAAAAGTAATCTAATAGGGTTCCACATATGCTCAGAATCTTCATCATCTTTATCTGCATCCACGTTATATTTCATCTCAACATTCATTATAATACACAATAAACATTGGATTCGGATGTCTCCATCACTTATTCACACCTGAAAGAAATATATCCTTTCACGGTGGATCTTCAAGTTCGCATTTAGATCCTTGTCGACTGAAGATGAATCCAGCAAAGTCGGCCTTCTCACCATCATCACGTCAAACAGAGCGTTCTTTAGCACGTTAAATGTGTGATTTTGAACAGATCGCTAAAATTTTGGGGACTAATTTTACATTGTTTAGAGTCATTCATCAACGAATATAAAAACTATAACCTACCCTCAATGCCACTTCGATTTCTACCAGAAAACAAAAGTAGTACGCCTTATCTTGCCTTAGTAATTTGTATATATGCATCATTGTTATTTCATTTTGCAGTGTAATCAAAAGTTTCAGGTGTAACATGCCTCCAAAAAGATTGGAACGTCCCTGACATCAGTATCAACAAGGTACCCTTCCTTTTGTCTGCAGATTTGTTCAAAATTTCAGAAATATTCATGAATTTGGAAATATCCCATGTCAAGTTTATAATCTTGAATGCAAGCATAGATATTAGTATGGTTAATTACCATAAAGGATAAACATAAATGATGGCGTTTTGCTTATCTTTCTATGCCTAAATGTTTATTTGTATTATTTAACATATCAAATTAGTTTAAAATCCTTGGTTTACTCTCTACTATTCAATTAAGATCCAATATTTTAGCCATGACTTCTTCTTAGAATCTTGATACACTCTGGTCGTACCAGATGGTGTTTCATGTGAGATATGGAACATGACCCACAAATTTTTTGGGGTCATAGGTATACCTGTTTTAGCTTTTACCCATTTATATATGTTTTAACCTTTAACCCAGTTATAATGTTTTAGACTTTTACTCTTTTAGCTGATTTGGTGATTTCTGATTCCGGCTTTCAAAAAATGTTAAAAAAATTATTTTATACGTTACATTGTCAATTTAAAACATCTTTGTTGTTTTAATTTGCCAGACACTTAATATAACATATGGTATGAAAGTTGTCCTGTCGATCAGTAGTTTGGTACAAGTGTAACACAGACTCCAAAAAGATTAGAAATGCCCCTGAATATCATATATGCATTTGAAGGGTTTTGCTACGTGTTTGATGACGATTTGCGTCCTTTTTCACCTCTTCTTGAACGTTTGATTAAGAACTTCCCTTTATTGGTGAAAAAACGAATTGCATACATTAGGAACCTTGAATAGATCCATAAAGATTGAGTTTTCAGGATTCTTTTGAGTCTAAATTAGTATGAGATTTATTGGGTTTTAACTTTTAGAATTCATGGGGTTTGTTAGGTCTTCCTAAAGATATATGCTTTTTGTATAAACCCTATAAATTGAGGAGACAAATGATGCAAAAAACATGACAAGTATTTATGCCCAACTTCTCCATCCATGACATTAATGTTGGTTTGGTAGAGTTTTGTTTGGAAACATTCGGATAATAACTAATCTGGTTTGTCTTTAATGTGTAGCTCAGTTGGTAAAAAAGTGGAGTGACTTTGTTCAAATATAAGACATGTCATGGGTTCGATCCGTTAGCCCCCTATTAGCCTCAGCCACTGAGTGAGCTAAAAAAATACCCCTTTTACATTGATGTCCTTGGGATGAATTCCATCTCGGACCAGTTGGTGTTGTCGGCTATCAACTTTTGCCCAAAAGTAACTAATATGGTTTAATTTAATTTATATTTAAATTAAACATATTTTGTTTTGGTTTAAGGGTTTTTGTCACTAGTTGTATTATTGAAACGATAGTTGTATGACTAATTTAAGAATTTTTTTCATTTTTTTTAGATTATAATCTTTATTAATTATTATTTAAATATTTTTATTAATAAATTATTATTAATATTAATTAATAGCAATTAAAAATCATTAATTAACTTTAGTTATACGTTAATATTAGTTATCATTTTTGAAAATTATTATCTATACTATATTATAAAGCATCTGACAAAAACTCTTAAAAACCACAAAGTACTGTTTATTGATGCATATTACTTAAAATTCAAGATTACAAATAAATTATGCGTAAGTACAACTTATTAAAGCTTCATGTTTGAATTTGTGTAACTAACTGCAGATAAACATAATCAAATACATGATAAAAATCTCATTTTAAATATAAAAAACTTAAAATATAATTAGAATAATTATTGAGTTCTAACACAATTATTAATTATTATTTTTATTAAAAATTATATATTATTAAACCTAAATTAAATTAAATTATAGTAAAAAAATTGAATTAAAGAAATTATATAAAACAAGAACTTTTAAAATTTTAATTTGATACTAATATCGATATAGTTTTTTTCAAAATTTTATAATATTTTTAAATTTATAATAGATAAAGGATAAGACGAAACATTGAAATTGATATGTGTCTCGATGCATTACACGAGTACCCTTCTAGTTAATCATCTAAACTATTTTTATATCATTATTTTTTAAATTATTATTCAATATATTTGATTATCAAAAAACAAATATAACAAATCTAAAAGTGTCTATTATAGGTTACGTAAAAATTAAGGTTATACTTATTTTGTTTCTTATATGATAGAATTGTATTAAATGATTTTAATAAAATATTTAATTTAATTATTAGTTATATTTTTGAAAAATTATTAATTAATTAGGATATGTGAGGTTGACCAAATTTATTTTTATTCATATTATATATAATAGTTATTTAAAATCATACATCAATATAGATTTTTCTAAAATTTGTTTTTAACAAATTTCAAATTTATAATATAGTATAGATAAACAATTTGAATTTTTTTTAATTAATTAACATATTATATTATTTATTTTTTCTTTACTATCTTGTTTGTATTAATTAATATATTTATATTATTAAGAAATTGTTGTAATTATATTATGGAATATTTGAATTGATTAAATTTTCAAGATGTATTTTTTGGTCATTTTATATTTTCATCTAGCTTATTAGCTAGTTTTTGCCAAATTTGATATGTTCATCAGTTATATTATCAGGTACCAACTGTTATTTTATCAGGTACCAACTACCTTATCAACTAATCTATACTATAGTATAAAACATTTGATAAAAACTCTAAAAACCCATTTTTATGTATGAAATATTGTTTATTGATGCATATTACTTAAAATTCGATGCTACAAGTAAATTGTACATGAGTACAACTTATTAAAGCTTCATGTATGAATTTGTGTAACTAACTGTAGAAAACATAATAAAATAGAGGACAAACATCTTATTTTAAATATAAAAAATACAAAATATAATTAAGATAGTTATTGAGTTCAAGAAACTAATTAACTATTATCTTTATAAAAAAAATTATATCCATAAACCAAAAATAAAAAAAAATGAATTAAAGAAATATAAAAAAAATGAGAAATTTTAAATAGTTAGTTTGGTACTAATATAAATATATTATTTTTTCACCTTTTTATGATATATTCATATTTATATTTTATTAAAAAATAAAAACATTATCGCTTTCTCAAAACCATATAAAACCGTATTATAACATCGATCGAGACAAAAAAACGAAACATTAAAATAGAAATGTATCTAACTGCATTGTAAGTACCCTTATAGTATAATCAAATACAAGATAACCAACTGATAAATATAATAAAATACCGGATAAACTTAGGATAATCACTAAGTTCTAACAGAATACCTAGTTATCATCGTTATAAATAAATTATATTATTAAACCTAAAATAAATTAATTTGTTACTAAATCTAAATTAAATTATAATGGAAAGATTGAACTAAAAGTTATCTTTATAAAAAAATAAATTACTTCGTTGTTAAATCTAAATTAAATTATACTAAAAATTATATAAAAAATAAGAACTTTTAAATTGCTAAATTGATATAAATTTTTATGGGTCTTCAAATTTATATTTTATTCAAATACAAACACATTATTGTTTTCTCAAAACCATACAAAACTCTGTTCTAAAACGTAACACTAAAATCGACCTGTATTTCGCTGCATTACGTGAAAACGCTTCTACTTCGTCAAAAATAGCCTTAAAAAGCTTTATTTTGATGTCTACAAGAAGACGTCAAAAAACCGTAATAACTTCTACAAGAGTGTTTTTCTGGTACAAAGTTCTACTGCATTCTCTTTTTTTGTTTGTAAAATTATAATATCCCTTTAACCATATAAAAAAACATACTAAATTTTCTTAATTTTTTAAAGACTATAATTTTTCTAAACTGAAGCTTTCGAAAAAATGTTCATAAAAATAGGAATTGAAACAAAATACGTTTTATATCGCTGCAAATTTTCATTTTTATACGCCTTTTGATATTTCAGTTAATTAAAAGTAAATATATCTGTTTTTTATTCGAATTGTTTTTCAATTTTAAAGTTTTGTATTCATCTTTTTTTTTGAAGTATATAATATATTTTATATACGGCAAATGCAACAAATAAATTCACACACCCTCTTCATCATTGGTGATATTTGAACTCTTGACCTTCTAAAAAACAAGAGGCTTAGATACCACTAGACCAAAGACGATCCGGCCTCTACTCATCTTGACTGGTTTTATCTACCTGTAGTTGTAAACCATGATTGATAGTACAAGTTTCTTCTTGACATTTTTAACTCACACACCAAAGTAGTGATAGTAACATTACATCTCACCAAACATATATTTTTATGGTCCAACCCATTTAATAAATAATTAATTGTTATTCAACATTTTTTAATTACATTTTTCCATTTTTGGGTATTATTTTTAATAATTATATTTACAAAAACTTAATTTTAATAATTTACAAACAAAAAAAAATTCAATTATTTTAAAAAATAACAATTTATTGTTAACAAAGTTATAATACGTTGATTTAAAAAAAAACGAAATCATGGTATGCTTAATTAGTTCCATCGAAGATACGAATACGTTTGATGACCAGATATGGATTGAGGAGCAAAGGGATATGACAGGTTTGGTCCTTCGGGCTCGGAGCGGCTCTGTTTTTCAAATCAAGTGTCGGTTAATGACCGGTCTTGCAACACCCAGTCAATTGTGAAGTAGAGGGATATGACAGGTTTGGTCCTTCGGTCTTTTTAAAGGCTAGAACGTTCGAATGCTCTCCCTTAAAAGCAACAATGCAATGAAAAAACAAATCAAATCATGTTTTGTTATAATCAGTTAGGATTGTTGTGTCCAACTCGATCTTCGTTTTCAGACCAATGACTATTTTTTTTGCATTATTAGGATCGGAACTGTAAGAACCATGCCAAGGGGCAATCATCGTCCATCACTCTTCTATATGTTAAAACGAATTAAACATTTAACTTGATATATAATGGTTGAGTTCCGATGAGAAGAAGAGCTAAAGTAAGAAGCGTAAGAAATGATCTCCATCATTGGATGTACATTAGGATGAGATGCACCAGATCAATCCGTTTATCAAGCGTAATTCATGGGTGACTTTGAGATTAAAGATGATCAATGGTCCAATTTTTTTTTCTTATACTTCTTACATTAACTCTATTTCTCATACGATTATTCGTCGACATATAATTGATAAAAAAAGAACCTAAATAACTAGAAATTTAACAGATTGAATAAATAGCATCTCTAACAGATTTTTTAAAATAGAAACCAAGAGTCAAAATCTCTAAAATAGATTAGATTCAACTACAACAGATTTTTTATTTTAGAGATTATTTCATCATTAATTATATTATTTAAATATATTTTTTATAAAAAATTATTAAAAATTAAATAAAATATATTTGAACACGAAACTAATTTCTCCCCCCACCTCGTATAACTTTAGATTCTCTTGCCTTCTCACCTCTTTCACTGCTCCCAACAAAGCTTCCCTTTTCCTTTTACGAGGAATGGCCGACGAAAATGGCACCACCACCACCACCACCCCACCTCCGCCGGAAGGGGTGCCGGATGCACCACTTTCCTCCCACCCTCCACCATTCCCCCCCACTCCAAGAGAAAACAAAGAAACCCCATCACCACCACCACCACCTTCTTCATTAACAGAGAATGAAACCTCACCACCACCACCACCACCACCATCTACCACCACCCTAGCTGACGTCATCGAACAACCAGAAAAGCCCATATCAACTGAACCCAAACCTCCCCCTGAATCCATGGTATCTTTCAAAGAAGAAAGCAACCAAATCAAAGATCTTTCAATTTCACAACAAAAATCGCTTCATGAATTCAAAACCCTAATCCAAGAAGCCATCACCAACAACGACTTCATCTTTTCACCAAAATCAGAAGAACCCATTTCAGAGATCACCCAAGAGATCTCAATTTGGGGGATACCCCTTTTGAAAGATGAAAGAACCGACGTCGTCTTACTCAAGTTCTTGAGAGCCAGAGACTTCAAACTGAAAGACTCATTCACAATGCTCAAAGACACACTCCAATGGAGGAAAACATTCAACATTGATTCACTAGTGAATGCAGACTTTGGGGATGATCTTGAAAAGGTAGTCTTTATGCATGGCTTTGATAAAGAAGGGCACCCAGTTTGTTACAATGTCTATGGTGAGTTTCAAAACCAAGAATTGTATCAAACAACGTTTTCTGATGAAGAAAAGAGGTTCAGATTCTTGAGATGGAGGATTCAGTTTCTTGAAAAGAGTATAAGAAGCTTAGATTTTAGCCCTGGTGGTGTGAACACCATTTTTCAGATCAGTGATCTTAAGAACTCACCAGGACCTGCCAAGAGGGAGCTCAGGCTGGCCACCAGGCAAGCTCTGCAGCTGTTGCAGGATAACTACCCAGAATTTGTGGCAAAACAGGTAAGTTTATAAGTCCCCAAATGATTGTATTTCTGTACAAGATTGAAAGATCTAGTTGATTTAGATTGCTATTCATCATAAACTATAGCATTATTCACTAATGAATATTGTAACATAAACAGGATCATCATTCTGAATAGAAAGAGAAGATTGATTGCATTTAGGTTCGAATTAGAGCATTTTTTTGGTATAACACAATTCAAACTTCTATTGATGTGGTCTAATGATTGCATATCTGTACAGAATTGAAGGATCTAGTTGATTTAGATTGCTAATCATCCATAAACTACAGCATTATTCACTAATGAATATTGTAACATAAACAGGATCATCATTCTGAATAGAAAGAGAAGATTGATTGCATTTAGGTTCGAATTAGAGCTTTTTTTTGGTATAACACAATTCAAACTTCTATTGATGTGTTCTAATGATTGCATTTCTGTACATAATTGAAGGATCTAGTTGATTTAGATTGCTAATCTTTCATAAACTACAGCATTATTCACTAATGAATATTGTAACATAAACAGAATCATCTTTGTGAATAGAAAGAGAAGATTGCCTTCAAATTAGTGTTTTTTTTTTTGTTTAACATAATTCAAACTTCTATTGATGTGTTAAAGATTTGGCCTAAAGGTAATTGGGATAGGGTATGACATTAGACTGGGGTTATTTTTGTCCCACCAAAATAGGTGGAACAAAAATCAGGCTGATTGGTAAATTACTAAACTACCCATGTCAACTTGAAACCCTAAAACATTCTTGGACAATCTATGCTCGTCTAGCCTCCATTGAAGGGGGCGTGTTAGAGTCCTACATTAGCTAGACTTAGACCGTTTCTCCTCTATATACGTTGGAATCTTTTTTCTCTCCTCAAGGGCTCTTTTTGATAGTAATCTAACGGGACTCCACATATTCTGACAACAAGATATAACAAGAATCGTAGTAATGGTTATGCAAATTCTCGAACGACATTATATTCCACTTCGTGTAATAATTTTACGCTCGATTATCGATCTTTGATCCTAACATTTTCTTTGAAGGTTTTCATCAATTGCCCTTGGTGGTATTTGGCTTTCTATACGATGATGAGTCCATTCATGACTCATCGGACTAAGAGCAAGTTCGTATTCGCTAGCACTGCAAGAACTGCCGAAACCCTTTTCAAGTACGTTCGGTCTTTTTGTTTATACGTCTCCGTATTCCGTTATGAACTTAAAAGATTTCCATTACTGGTTTAGGTTTTAAGTAAGTTGGTTCTTTGAAATAGATACGTGAGTCCAGAACATGTACCAATTCAGTACGGAGGGTTGAGCGTAGATTACTGTGATTGCAATCCGGAGTTCACAATTGATGATCCGGCTTCAGTGGTTACGGTTAAACCTGCAACCAAGCAAACCGTCGAGATCATAGTAAACGAGGTATAATTCATATTGCATTTTTGTGTTGTTAATATGGCACGTTTTATAGAGTCGGTATTATATAGCTTCCAAGCTGAACTACCATCGTCTTTCTGCTAAAGAAAGCTCGGAAGATGACAAGATATCATACGAACTCCACAAATTTGAAAACCGTTGATTATTTCACGACGACAAAATCGGTTTTATAGGGTGCTTAGATTCCAAGCGTTCTAATAGAATACTTTATAAAACATAAGTTTACAGGACCAAACTATAAAACGTCCTATCTAAAAGCAGTACAATAGTTTTATAAGATGCTTTTGGGCGTTTTAACAAGTTTTCAAGACGCTTTTAAAAATGAAGCATCCTTTTAGCTATTTTATAGGACAATTTTGAGAATTGTACTGTAAACCCGTCCTTTTATAGTTCATTTGTGTTTATAGGACATTTTTTTAAATAGTATTGGTATAAAATAGATAATACCACACTTTATTCTAAAATCGTTCTAAAATCCTTGTTAAAACGCCTAAAAGTGTTCTGTAAAACATATTGTAACACTTGTAGATAAGACGTTTTTTTTGTTTGGTTCTATAAACTCAAGTCCTATAAAATATTTTATTAGGACGCTTAGACATTTTAGGCGCCCTGTAAAACCAATCTTGTAGGGTTAGGACCATCGAGAAAATAATAAGTTGAACCACGAGGTTTTGTGGCCAAAACGTGATGGGGCCATGTTTAAATGAAACCGTAAATATTTTGAGAATCTGGATTATGGGAACCAACTATATATACTTTATTCATAATGAATGTGATAGATATTCATAATGAATATGATAGATATTCGTTATGAAAATGCATGATATTCATGATGAATGAAATATGGGTGAAACGATTGTAGAAATGCATATTCGTATGGGAGCTACGTGTAGTTGGTTGGGAAGTGGGCTACGGTGCGGAGTTTGTACCAAATAACGAAGGTCATTACACCATAATCATACAGAAGGCTAAAAAGATGAGTCAAACCGATGAACCGGTGATTAGCCACAACTTCAAGATCAACGAGCTCGGTAGGATACTTCTTACTATCGATAACCCGACCTCAAAAAAGAAAACATTGCTCTATCGGTTCAAGGTCTCTCCCCTTTCCGAACAACGAGTGTTTTGAAACTTACGTGACGATTATTTGTTCGTGAACGTCGAGTCTATTATTTATTTATATTTTTGTTGTTTATTCGAAATTTCATGATCTATGTTTTCAGTTGTTGATTTTAGTACCCCCATGGGGTATTTCAAAAGAATTTTGTGAACCGTTTTACGGGAAGTTCATTTATGTTTGTTTATTTAATAAATTAACGAACATGAACATATTTTTTTTTTGTTTAGTTAAAGGAACGAACATGAACAATAGTCATGTTCGTTTATTTACTTTCATTCAATTATGTTCGTTAATTCATTTATGTCTGTCTACGTCTGTTTTAATGGAAATTTATATATCATGAATTAATATGTAAAAAAGTTTAGGAATTTAATCGGTCGGGATTTTTCATATTTTTTAAATAATTTTATTATATTAATTCGGTTTTTTTACATCATAATATAATATTTAATTGATTTTAAAAATAGATATTTATTTATTTAAAAAATTAAAATATATATATAATCGCTAAATTGAATTTTCGTTTTCTTACTGAAATTATTATATTTTACGGGAAATTTCTAAAAAAATCCAACTTTATTGTATATAATGATTAAGTCATTCAACAATTTTTTGGAATATATAAGTTTTTGTACATTCTAAAATTTGTTAAATAACTTTTTGGATTTTTTAAAACCTGTTAGATACATTTTTGTGGCCTATACAACAGGTTAATCTGGTAAAATAATAAAAAAAATTCTGAAAAAAATCAATGGACTTTCGTATTTTGAACAATTAAGTTCCTAAATATTTTTTAAACTAAAAAAGTACTTGCATTTATAAAATAAAACAAATATATCAAAAAAATATACTTATATTTACAAAAAAAAAATACTTACATTTTAAAAAATTATGGATGAAATTTATTTTAATTAAAAACAAAATATAATCTGTCAGTGATTTTTTTAAATTAAAAAAAAATAAAAAAGATTTAAAAGCGATTATTGATTAAATTTGTTTTAACTAAAAATAAATTTCATTCCATATGTGATTTTTCAAATTAAAAAAAATAAAAATAAAATAAAAAAGATTACTGGTGAAATTTATTTTAATTAAAAATAAAATATATTTCGTTGGTGATTTTTCAAATTAAAAAGATAAAAAATAATTTGATTAAATTACTGACGGATTAACAATAAGATTTGAATCATACATAATTAATTAAAATTCGTCGCTAATTCGTCGGTGAAAAGATATCACTGATAAGATTCAAGCACGATCTTTCACACTTATTAACATGTTACTGTGTTAGAGCGTCTAACGGTGGTCAAGTTAGCCATCAATTATATATATATGTAATCCATGCATATATACCAATGAATGTGTTACAATAAATTTATACCAAACAAATGTATGTCTTTATATAAATGTGTTACAATAAATTTATAAAATTATACATTCTATTAATAAAACTACGTACATTTATTTGGTAAAAATATTCTAATATAATTAACCGTTTGTTCCTATAAAAAATTTAATTGTTTAGTCCCTGATTAAAAAATGAATTAAAATACTATCATATGAGGGTACTTAACAACTTGCACTTGAACGACGTTAGTGACAGAAATTGTATATTAACATTTCATTATTTTATTATAAACAATAAAAAAATAATTTTTTATATATTAATTCTTTTATCAAAAAATATATAGTTTGACGACCAAAATACAAAAAGAAGACCAAAAAGAAAAAATAAAATAAAAAAGACTAAAATATCCCCAAGTTAAAGAGATGTTTTAAGAGATTTAGTCTCAAAGGCGAAAATAATAATAATAAATTACAAATCATAGGATCCAAAACAATAGCAAATTACAAGCCACAGGGATAAAATTCGAAATTTCAAAACCACAAGGACGGAAATTGAAATCTTTCACAAACCACAAGGACGAATATCGTAGTTTACTCATGTATTTTTTTTTTCCCTAGAAGCGTACTCGCGCAATGCAGCGAGATACATCGTGATTTTAATATTTCATTTTATTCTTTATCTCAGTTGATGTTATAATCTTTATGTGATTTTGAGAAAACGATAATGTTTTTATTTTTGAATAAAATATATGTTTGAAGATATCATAAAAATTTGACAAAAATATAACGATATTAGTATAAAATTAACTATTTGAAATTCCTCATTTTTTTTTTGTAATTTTTTAATTCAAATTTTTTTAATTTACTTTATGTACAATAACGAAATAATTTATATTTGATTTAATAATATAATTTTTTTATAAAGATAATAATTATTTATTTTGTTGGAACTCGATCATTATTTTAATTATATTTTA